AACCTACAGTCAGCTGCCAAAATAATCTTCCTGAAGTATACGTATGACAATGTTAACCAATTATTTCAAAGACTTCAATGGCTCTTTATTTACCTCCAAGAGCAAACACAGTACAAATGTTCTGTTTGACATTTAAAGACCTTCACAATCTGCCCCCTTCCTAACTTTCTAGTTTCCTTACACTTCATTCCTTTTCACAAACTGATCCAATACAATTGCTCTTGTTGAGTCATGTTTCAGTCGTATATGACTCTTCCTGACCCCATTTAGGGTTTCTTGGCAAAGATACTAGAGTGGTTTGCCATTTACTTCTCCAGCTCACTTTAAAGATGAGAAAACTGAGGCAAACAGGGTGATGTGACTTGCTCAGGGTTATGCAGCTAGCAAGTGTCTGAGGGCTGTATTTGAACTCAGGTCTTCCTGACTCCAGGCCCAGCACTGTATCCACCAAGTCATCTAGGTGTTTGTTGACTAACAGGATCATGTATAGACTAGTACTCTACCTATAGATTTAAAGCCGGCAGCTTAGTTATTACCTAGTCCAACCTTTTCCTTTTGCCAGTGAGGAAACTGAGGTCCAGAGAGGGAGAAGTGTCACAAAACCAGAAAAATTGCAGAGAAAAGATTTTAGAACCCTGGCTCCAAAAAACAGGATTGCACTATAAAAGGCTGCCTCCCAAGACACTTTATCTCAGGAGCAGCAATGGAATTTGTGTCAAACAGGATACTGAGATAATGCACAAGGGGCAGCTAGGTGGCTCAGTGGATAGAGCTCTGGCCTTGGAGTCAGGAGGACCTGAGTTCAAATCCGACCTCAGACACTTGACACTTACTAGCTGGGTGACCCTGGGCAAGTCATCTAACCCTGACTGACTCACCAAAAAAAGCAAAAAAAAAAAAAAAAAAAAAGAAATAATGCACGTAGTGGGCTTGGGTTGGTTCACTTAGTAGCCAGTTCTAAAGATGTCTACACTAAATTCTTATAATCTGGTCTGATCAACTAAAGGATTTTTTTTTCTTTAGCAATAGCACAGAAGTGCAGGTTACTACCAACAGTGAGTAAGCAAGGATGTGCTGGGTGTGTACCTTAAATATCTGCTCCAATTCACCCAATTCTTGGCAAAGAACATTACCGGTAAGAGGGCAAGGCCTCCAAAAAACTCCGAGTTCCATCAGGCCAGCAGTGACTGATGACAGCTGTTATCATTTGATCTTATTTCACAACTTCTCATTTGCAAATGGGCCAGGAAAAAGAGTAACCCTTTGCCAAATGTAGGATCCTCATAGTATAATTTCTTAGTCACATCTGTTGGCACTCTGTAGGAACACAGGCCATTTTCTTTAGGGAGAAGAAAAAGCAGATTTATTTAGGGAAACAAAGTTTTGAATTTCCCTCTAGGACTTGATTGTAAAAGTAATTATTATAATTAACATTAACAACAATAGCTAGCATTTATATAACTCTTCAAGGTTTGCAAAGTGCCTTATAAATATCATCGTATTTTACCTTCATAATAATAGGTGCTATTTTTAACCCCATTTTACAGATGAGGAAACTGAGGTAGAAAAGTGAAGTGACTCTCTCAGAGTCATATTGCTAATAAGTCTGAGGTCAGATTTGAACTCAGTTCTTACTGACTCCAGGTCCAGAGCACTCTCCACTGCTCCATCTATCTGCGTCATATCAGGTGATAATTTTTAGGTACCATGGTACCCAGGGGCAGCTAGATATTACAGTGGATAGAGCACCAGGCCTGGAGTCAGAAGAGCTCAAATCTGGCTCCAGACACTTACTAGCTTAGCTGTGAGACCCTGGGCAAGTCACCCCTGTTTGCCTCAATTTCCTCATCTGTCAAATGAGCTGGAGAAGGAAATGGCAAACCACTCCAGCATCTTTGCCAAGAAAACCCCAAATGGGGTCACAAAGAGTCAGACAGGACTGAAAATGACTAAACACACATGGTTTCCAGACTAAAAAGATTATATTAACCAAGAGAGCTGTTTTCCCTTGTTCACTTTACCTGGTGGTGATCCTCTGAGTATGGACACCTGCCTACCAGTGATTCAATGGTTGGTCATGGAATGCAGGACTAGGTCATTTCACTGGAGAGCTCAGCAATGGTTTCCACTTCGGTGGCACCTCTACCAACCAATATACTCCCAGTAGGAAGTTTTGACAATGGCAACCCTCCATCTTACTTTCCTTCTATAGTACAAAGCACAGAGAAGCAGGGTGGTCTAATGGAGAGCTAGCCTCACAGTCAAGAAAACCTGGGTTCAAATCTTGTCTCTCCCATGTACCTGTTGTGCATCCCTAGGCACCATCTCTCAGTCCCCGAGCCCAGTGACTCCCAAACACTTCGCCTCTTGCCCTCCCTCAGTGATTCTCAAAGTGTGGGCCCGGGACTCCTCTGGATCTTCAAGATCCTTTCAGGGGAGTCTGTGAAGTCAAAACTATTTTCATAATACACTAGGACATTTTAATTTTCAAGACAGTAAATATCACAGATATAACATAAACAAAAGCTCTGTGGGATCCTCAATGATTTTTAAGAGAATAAAGGAGCGAGCCAAGATGGCAGAGTAAAAGCAGTGACTTGCTTAAGCTCTCCCCCAACCCCCTCCAAATACCTGTAAAAATGGCTCTAAACAAATTCTAAAGCAGCGGAACCCACCAAAAGACAGAGTGAAACAAATTTCCAGCCCAAGACAACCCGGATGGTTGATCAGAAAGAGAATAAAGGAGTCCTGAGACCAAAAAATTTGAGAACCACTACCCTAGACAATTTTCTGTGTGCATGTAGTGAATTGATTACTACCTGCTTATTGCTATTGTGAATGATGATAAACTGCTGGACAGGTGTTGATCTATGCTTGTAGGGAGGGCTTTCTCACCAGGAGTTCACTATCCCAATTAAATCATAGGTCTGGTTTAAAAAAGACCCAAAGCTTCCAAGTAGATATCTGATGAGTGAATCCTATCCTTTTCCATGAAGTGAAGTCCCCATTCTCTGATCTCCTATGCAGCACTTAATGTCTCATTTTGATGAGAAATCATATTATTTTATATTGTTATTCATATGTCCATATACTTTTCTAGGCAGCTGGATGCCTGGGTGGATAGAGTGCTACGCCTAGAATCAGGAAGATCTGAGTTCAAATTCAGCCTCAAACTCTTACTGCCTGCAGAAACCTGGACATGTCACTTAACTTTTGTTTGCCTTCATCCACTGGAGAAGGAAATGGCAAAGCATTCCAGTATCTTTGCCAAGAAAACCCCATGAACGGTATGGTCCACAGGGTCTTGACTGAACAACAACAGTAACAACAAACACTTTTCTACCAACCACAATGTTGGTACATGAGAATTATGCAATCCAATAATTGACAAAAACAAACAAAAAAGTGACATTGAGTTGTAAAAGTTCCGAGGACATCTCACAGCCCTTCTCATTCCCAAAGGGGCTATAGAGATGTTTTCGAAAATTGTTCTATCTCTCACAATCCCTTGGCCCCATCTGCTTGAAATGGCAACAATTTAGAGGCCACTGCCTTTAGCCCTCAGGCCCAAGTCTAATGCTTTCTCTTCCCAACATACTCTATGGGCTGCCTTCTGGTACTTTAGAACTGGTTGTTCAAAGGTGTACCATCTCAACAAATACTTTGAAAACTAAAGAAACATTCCCTGACCATGATTAGAAAATAGCTATGGATACACTGGATTATCACACTTCACTATACAATGCCTAACAGAGAGCAGGGATGTATAGAGACCTAAGGCAAAGTTGTTTACTTACTAACGATAGCAAGTCTAATTCCTCTTCCTATATTTTTTTATATGAACACTAGGAAAACAAAAAACAAGTACTATTACTGAACTGCATCATCCTACATTACATGGACTATATCTTGATGTTTCAAATACTCCTATAAAATGAAATAATCCACAAAAGCAAGAATGGATGCCCCAACATAAGTAATGTCTCTCTGAGAGTCTAAACAAAGAGTTAGTCCTCCACAGGAATATATAATTTATTTAATGCAGTTTACAGACATTAAAGCACCTTATGGATGTTAGAAAGTCAATCAACAATCATGTCTCGAGTGTTTACTGTGGGCCAGGCACTGTGCTAAAAGCTGGGGACAAAAAGACCAAAATGAATCCCTGCCCCCAAAGAGCCATCACAACCAATATTTAAAGCCTTGTTTCAGCACATCCACCACAGAGCAGCTTTAATGTGGCCCAATGGACAAAGCCAACTACCAAGGAAATGTCTGAGAAGAACTGGAATCTCAAGAGAGACTTGGGGCATGAGGTAAACGGGAGCACTTCCCAATAAGAGGAATTCTAGGCTTATCTTTCATCATCTTTACTTAAAGTATGTGACCACTTTACTAAAGAACCAGAGGGAAAGGTACCACCATCAGTTAAAACCTATTGCAAGGGGCAGCTAGGTGGTGCAGTGGATATAGCATGAGTTCAAATCCATCTTTAGACACATAACACTTACTAGCTGTGTGACCCTGGACAAGTCACTTAACCCCATTGCCTAACCAAATTTAAAAAAACAAAACAAAAAAAAAAATCTACTGCATTACCGGCACAGGGCCCTTTTCAAAAGGCTACATATCCAAAGTCAATTTCTTTCAGAAAAGCTAAATATAAATAAAAATGAAAATCATCAATTGCCAATTAACTGAGCTTATGGATGAAAGCCGTGTCCCTTGAGGACAGGGGGCACATTTTATTTATCTTTGTATCTCTCCCAGAGCCTAAAACAGCGTTTTGTGCATCATCATCATCATTTAAATAAATCTTTTTTTGGATGCACTGAGTTTGCCGAGTAGTGGGAGGAATACAGACCTGTGTAACATTCCTCCATGAATATTCCATAAAATAGGTATTTCCAAAGCAAAAAACTAAGATTTGGCTTCCAAAATAACTGCTGCCATTGCTATTTGCAAAAGACTAAAGCTGAAATATAACACAAGGTACTAACCAGAAGAAGGAATTTCCCAACTCATAATTGTCATCACCCTGCTTTTGGGCTCGGACAGTCAGGTCGAAGTTGGAGCCGGCATTTGGCCAGGAGAAATAGAACATCCCAGAGTTAAGAATTTTTTTCAGTGCAGTGAGACGGTCTTCTTCCTTGCCATCTTCCTGGAGTGGACAGAAATCTATTGCAGTGATTTTATAGATCTCAGCATCAAGAATTCTTCCCACCGATGTACAGCCTGTCACCAAGACCAAGAAGCTCAGTTGTTTGCCACCTAGAAAGTTAATCAGAAAAAGAAGGATTATCTGTTATTGCTCCCATGCAAGCAGCAAGACTTGATAAACATGGACATAATAGCCATAAAAATATGGTCACACTGTTATGGCTACTGTGGCACCATTTTTGCCCCCCACTCCCATCCCTTTAGGAGTAGAGCATGTTATATCCCCCCAGTAGAGCATAAACTTGAGAGCAGGAACAGTTTTACTTTATCTTTGCATCCCCGGTAGAACTGGTTTTTAATAAACATATGTTGAAAAGAGGGTGTGCCTTATTTGTTACACAGGAGGACATCTATTTAGTAGTTGGCGATAAAGATATTTTTGTGATAAAGAAGCAAAAAAAAAAAAGAGAGAAACATTGATAAAACATTTAAAAATACAAAAACAAAACAAAACCCTAGGTGTCCATTGATTGGGGAACAGCTGAAAAAATATGGCATAGGAATGTAACAGAAAGTTGCTTCACCATAAGAAATGGCAAATATGAGAAACTCAGAGACACATGTGATATGGTTGTTTGAACTAAGAGAGATGAAAGCAAAATAATATTACACAGATAATATACACAATGGTTACAGTATTGGAAATGAAAACACTAAATGACAGCTAAAATCAAATTAAATGCAATGACTAACATCTGTTCCTAGGACAGGCAATGAAACACATCTCCTTCCTCTCATGGATGGGAAGGGAAAGGGAAGTATATACTGACAGACATGCTTCAATGTCACTTGTTTTTAATTAATTTTTTATTTATAAGGAAGAAAGGATTTTTGGGGGGGTGGGAATTAATTGGGAAGTAACTGTAAAGCAAAAATATTCAATAAAATATTTTAAATAGATAAACACTGAATGGAACAACAGAGTTCTGCTAACATAGCAGAGGGCATGATGGAGCAAGTAACCATGTGAAATCCAAATGCAGAGAGCACATGTAAGAAAAGAGAACCCAGAGAACAGAAGCATCCCCCATGATTGAAAGGAAAATAAGAGAAAGCTGAGCCAAAGGAGAGGCTCCTCCTATGGAGGAAGTCTCCAGAGATAAGAAGAAAAAACAGAAAGGATTCTGAGAGATCCTGAAGCCAGAGAAGAAAGTGGAGATAGCTCAACTGTGTGGCTGTAGACCAGCACCCAGCCTGGGAGGGTACCTTGCAAACCTTGGGGACCCCAATGGCCTTGGAAGAACTGTATTCTAGGAAGTCCTCAGCTGGAGCCAGAGGCATCTAGGATGTACACTTTTAATGGCTGAATGGACTCTCTGTCATATTAAGCAATTTACAAAATTGCCTTGGTTCTCTTTTTTGCACTTTTTTTGCATGTTTATATAACAAAGTTACACTTGATTTGCAATTAATATACATGCACAGGCACAGCTGGGTTGCCCAGTACAGAGATTCTCCCAGGATTCTGAGTTGAGACCCTGAGACCATCAAGGGAAATATCTTTCATAGATGACTTTTAACTCCTGCATGATGATTGGACATATAAAAAAGAAAGGGAAGACAAATGGGCCTTAACCCAAGCAGTCTGGATTTGAAATTAGAGGACATGGGTTTTACATCCTGATTTTGCCACTTAATCCCTTTGTGATCTTGGGCAAATCACTTAACCTCACTGGATCTTAGTGTCCTCATCATAAAACAAGGGAGTTGGACCAGATGACCTTGCAGGTCACCTACTAACTCAAATATATGATCCCATGATCTTTCATCTACCCCCAAAAAGTAGATATATGTCTGGTCTGTCCATAAGGGTTTGTCTTCAACCCAATCTATATTCAGAAGACCATCCCTGGTGAGAAATACCTTAGAGTTATTAGTCCACTTGTTCCAGCATACTCTTATCTCATGTGGTTGGTTTTTTTTTTAAACCATATTAATCATGTTATGAAAGAAGACACAGGCCCAAGGTGGGGGGGGGACACAAATCGTATGCTTCAATCTACGTTCAGGTGGCATCAGTTCTTTCTCTGGAGGTGAATAGCATTCTTCATCATGGGTACTTCTCTTGGATCATTGTATTGCTGAGAATAGCTAGTCATCATACAGTACTGTTGCTATTTGTACAATGTTCTGGGTCCACTCACTTCACTTCGCATCAATTCATCTAAGTCTTTCCAGGTTTTTCTGAAATCAGCCTGCTCACCATTTCTTATAGCACAGTAATATTCCATTACAATCACATACCACAATTTGTTCAGCCATTCCAGAATTGATGGGCATGCCCTCAATTTCCAATTCTTTGCAATTACAAAAAGAGCTTCTATAAATATTTTTTGTACAAATAGGTCCCTTCCCCTTTATTTAAAAAAAAATCTCTTTAGGATACAGATCTACTAGAGGTATCATTGGATCAAAGGGTATGCAGTTTTATAGCCTTTTGGGCATAGTTCCAAATTACCCTCCAGAATAGATCAATCAGTTCTCCTGTGGTTGTTTTGTTTTTGTTTTTTAGAATCAATAGAATCCCTTGTCAGGACAAAAGAGTCTATGGACCACTTGTCCCATACACAACCATGCAATGGAATTAATAGGAAAAAAAAATGCTACTTTTTGTGAGATACTGGCGAGGCAATATCCAGTTTTTATTCATTCAACAGATTTATGAACAGTGCCCACTATGTGCACCATAAATATTGGCAGGAGATACCAGAGAAACAGGACAATGTCCACCCTCCAAGAGCTTAGACTGTACGTAATCAATAAGACAATGCATCTTTTCATATACATCGATATTAAATATATTGATACACAGATATATTTTGATATTTAAATGAATTTTTTTCAATTAACAAACATCTATTTTCTCTACCTTCCTACTCCCACCATTAAAAAAAAACAACAAAAAATCTTTGTAATAAATATTCATAGTTAAGCAAAACAAATTCTTGTATTGGCCACGTTAGAAAAAAAGACAATTTTTATATAAAAGTTAATTATCACTATAAGGCAGTATGATTAAAAGTCAAAGGGAGCAATATGGACAAGAAGAGTTCAGAAAAGGAAACGATCACTCTGTGGACTAAAGTCATTTAAAAGGGCTCCATGGAGAGGGTAATGCCCGAGTTGGATCAGGATAAAAATGCATTGGATTGGAAAAAGCAGGGAAGAAGGATCTTCCAGAGAGGGGGACGTTACGAGCCAATGTATAGAACAGAAAATAAGAACATTGTATTTCCTAAACTAAGATAGTAAGACTGACTTGGTTAAAGCAGAGTATGCATGCTGGAAAATAACAGGAAATAAAGTTGGAGAGGTAGGACAGGACTCCAGAAAAAAAGAGGTCAACATTTAAATGTATGCCAGAAATAAGTTATAACAATAGCTTGCATTTACATGTTGCTTTACACTTTAAAAAGGAGGAAACTGAGGAGGGAAGGTTGGGAGTATAAGGGACTTGTCTAAGTCATAGAACTAATACAACATACCTAATAAATAGAACTGAATAGTGAAAAAGTCACAAGATCAGGCTAACAACAAGTAATCGTAGTAGGATAATGTAATTCTTGTTGAGTCATAATAAAGCCAGAGTGCGCTTGGCACAGTGCCTAGAACACAGTAGGCACTTAATGTTTATTGATTCTAAAACTAAAGCTATTTTCATTTCATCATGCTCTTTCTCCTATTATATCTATAAGACATTAAAAGACTGAAGGAAGTTCTAGCGTCAAAGAACCCAGGTTCAAATGCCTACCTGTGACCTTGGGCAATTCACTTAACTTCCCTGAGTATCAGAGAGGTTAAAATAAGAGTTGTTTCTGATGGCCTCAGAGGTCCTATCCAGCTCTAAATGGCCCAAGGAATCACCTGGCAGGTCTTTTGCAGATTTTATTCTAAGGGCCAGGAGTTGAGAAAATCCTGGGAGTCTAGACCAGAATTTAGATTTTTGTCCTGATGTTTCTCTATCTTGGACTGATTATTCTTTACTGAACTCCTAACTCAATCCAAACCCCTTCTTTCACATCCTAAATGAAGCAGACAGAATCCCTATGAACTCCCACATAGCACAAGCAGAAATGAATTTCAGAATTATCAACTACTCAGTAAACATTTATTGAACACCTACTAAGCACCAGGCACTGTGCTAAGTGCTGGGCGTGCAAAGAGGCAAAAGACAGTCCCTGCCCTCAAGGAGCTTGCAATCTAATGGGGGAATATAAAATGCAAACAAATATATACAAAGCAAGCCATATAGAGGTGAAGTAAGAAATAATTAATAGAGAGAAGGAACTTGAATTAAGAGAGATTAGGGAAGGCTTCCTGTAAAAAGTGAGATTTTAGTTGAGACTTAAAGGAAGCCAGGCAGTTCGGTAGTCTGAGCAGAGAGATAGCATTCCAGGTACGGGAAGTCAGCTAGGGAGACTGGAGCATAGCTGGGGATGAGATGAGAAAAAGGGCAGGATCACACAGTTTGGTTAGGGCCTTCATTTTATTTTCTGTTAAGAGTCAGACCCACTTCTTCAGGATTTGGAAATCCCTCCTCAAAACAAAGAATCTCAGAGATGCTTAAACGTTTCTTCACTCCTAAAAACAATTGTGTTGGTATGGGGCAGCAGCAGTTAGGGAGTGCAAGAAAACTCAGGCCAGGAGACTGATGGAAATACGAATTTTAAATGAGCCCTAAATTAAGAGCTTAGGACTATTACAGAAAAAGTGAAACAGACTTCATTCTAGAAAACAGGTAGGGGTTTCCTTGAAGGCTGGTTTCCAAATTAAAATCTGAATGACTATTAGGAAGCAAATGTTTTAATAATCTCAAGAAATTCCTGTTTATTTTGATTGACTCAGGAGGCTATCTTAGCATAGGTAAAGAGGACAGTTTTTAGAAAAAAAAGAGGGGGGGAGGGAAATTGTTCTAGATAATCGAGCAGCAAGAAGGAAATCCCAGTTGTCCTAGAATGCTGGAGACAAGATTAAATACTAGGAAGAACAGTTCTCCTTCCCAAAAGAAAGGCAACAGGGGAAAGAAAACTAACTATGCCTGGCCTTAAGGA